TACACACTCGTCTTCTGGGTAATTTATCCCTCAAAATTGGGTTTTTATTTAATAATTTATAGCCCACCCACTTCTATAGATGGAAAAGAGTCAGAACTCTGGAATATGAATCCAAGAATATAATATTCCAGTTAGTAGCTCAAGTTCTGAAAGTCTTCAAGTAGAAAGTAAAAATAAACAGCTTTGTTAAAGATTTTTCTCCTCAAATGTTTAATAAGTAAAGGATAAAAAAACCTTTATTTTAACCTTTAAATAAAACATATTTCAGTATGATTTTCTTGGTGAAATGAAGCCTAATTTATTTAAATTATGCTAGAGACAGAAAGCTGAGACAAGAAATAGAAACCCGTGATGAAAAATGGAGTTCTAGAAACCTTCAGAATTGCACAATGTTAATATGAATTTTCTATCAATTGCAGGTCTCTTCGAGGACGAATGAAGCCCTTGGCCAATGAGAGCTGGCTGGCAACAAGAATCCTGGTAACCCATGTCCTTTATTGTGTGCCATTCCCAACTTTTAAAATTGTAGGATTGGAGTGCAGCCTTCCATTTTATTGGAAAAGACAACTCCAGTGAGAGAGAACTTGCTTCTAGAACATCTTGTCCTTGGATCGCCAAGCTGTTTTAGGCCTCAATATGTAGGCTTTCTATTCTGGTAAATGAAACAGCAGATTGAGAGTGTACAAGAAGTCATCACCAACAAGTGGAGGCTTGTCACAGGGCACCCAGATGATCAGCCTGGGTAATTATCAAAAAAGGGTTTGTCCCAGCTGCTCCCCACTGACAGACACCCTTGCCTACCAGCACTGTGGAGTCTGCCTCCCTTTCTGAATGCCAATTTAAAACCAAAATATCTTAAAAAGCAAAACAAAACAAAACAAAACTCAGTTTGGTGGGAAACTGCCACAGTTTTTGGGTTGGAACTTTCCAGGAATGCCCAGAATAATTTGGCCTGAGACATACTGGCTGACCAACACTACCACCACTAACTCTGGGGGAAAATATCTAGAAGAAGATAGAGGTTCCTGAGCTGACCACCCTGAAGAGTTAGTGGAGAATAACAGGAAAAATGACAGAAAAAGACAATGATCAAGTAAGTGGAGGGGGCAGACTGGGCAGGCAGTCTGCACAGAACCTCAAGAGAACAGTCATGGCAAGAGAAGAGCTGTGGCAAGCAGTAATGTGACCTTTATGAGTCTGGATGCAGACAACATTGGGTTTAAATTCTCCATCTAACACATGATTCACCAGGAAAGTGCCTCAGACTCTGTGTGCTTGGACCTTCTGATTTGGTAAACTGTGGTGATAATGGGTAAGAAGCCAACAGAGAAAAAGTGTATAAGAGCTTTGTTCAGGGGCTAGGGAGACAGCCATAAGTGAGGTACTTGCTACACAAGCATAAGAACCTGAGTTTAATCACCCAGAATCCATATTGCCTTAGTTACTTTTCTATTTTTGTGCCAAGACACCACAGCCAAAGCAACCCATAGAACAAATTTATTTGGGGCTTAAAGTTTCAGAGGGTGAGAGTCTATGGTGGGGAGCATGGAAGTAGTCAGGCAGGCATGGTGCTAGAGCAAAAATCTCAGAGCTTACAGCTTGATCCACAAGTGCTATCAGAAAAATCCCACTGGGAGTGGTGAGTCTTTTGAAATCCCAAAGCCTGATGTTAGTAACACACCTCCTCCAAGGCCACACACCTCCTAATCCTCCCCAAACAGTTCCACCAACTGGGGGCCATTCTCATTCAAACAACCACACACTATTACAGCCAAACAAAGCAAGACCCACTTAAAATCCCAGTGTTGGAAAAAGCTGAGATAGGAGGAACTCTGGAGATTGCTGGCAGCCTAGCCTAGCCAAGTAACCATCTCCAGGTTCAGTGATGAGACCCTACCTGAAAAAAATAAAGTGGAGAGTGGCTGAGGCAGATAACCAATGTCAAGTTCTGTCCTCCATGTGCACACATGTGCATACACACCTATGTATGTACACACAGAATGGGAGAAAAGGTTAATGTGTTGGCATGCATGTAGTTGACCAAAAAAAGTGGCTATTCCCTACTGCTTCCATAACCGTCATCAGCCACACTCACTCTGTAACAGTCTTCTCCTCCCACACCTGATCCTCCAAAGAGAAGAAGACATCTACAGATGCTGATTTCAAAGTCTCTGCAAGGCAGGGAGAGGCCAGCTCTACGGCATATGTGGAAGGATGAACTTCCTACCACTGCTTTGCCTTCAGCTTTTACTTTTTACATCTTGACGTGACAACATAAATGCATTGCCCATCCCAAGGTGAGAGGTCACACTTGTACTAAAGACGGCATGGAGCCTGATGGTATTCCAGGGTGCTCATGTGCAAGCTGTGAAAAGATATATTAAATGGAGCATAATGGAGCGTCCACGTGGAATTTACGGTGAAGGGCTTTTCCTTTCTTTGGTCTAACTGCACAAAAAAGGGAACTGGTTCTGAGCTGGCAGGCTTTCTTTCATTTGTCATTATGTTTTACACACAAGGAAATTTTAATGTCTAAAGATGGGAGGTGATGATAAGACTAGAGTTACACATGTTTTTCTGGCAGCCTGGTCACCAGCACTTAAATTCACTTCTGACAGCTCTCTGAATCCGAAGACCGTTAGCACTGAGCTGTCATTTGCCTTTCCAGGGGAGATTTCGGAACTGGCAGTATGTCAAAAGGGAAAAATCACTTGCTTCTTTATATGTATTTTCAGTACGGCAGTATTTCTTCACACTATACTTCCAAGGCAGAGAAAGAATAGTTCCTAAGCCTTAAGGTAAGGCCCGTGGGCCCAAACATACAAGTACTGAAAAACAAAAATTAGTGCAAAATGGGCAATCTTTCCCTCCAAGAGTTTGGGTCCGTTATTATAAAAGACCCTTAAGTGTGATGCTTTCTGATCTATTTACTAAATAAAATCTAATGACTGCTTTGAGCTATGGAGAAGGCGGTTTTGATCAAAGAGTCAGCTCTCTTTAGCAAAGACCCTCACTTCAAGACCTAATCAAAGCAGTGGGTGCCAGGGAAGAAGGGGAATTTAGAATGGATAGAATCTTCCATCTGTCATCAACTGCCGGGTGTCCCTAAGAAACCTACTTGTTTTCTGAGCACAAGTTTCTATTGCCTTTATAATAAAAGACAGCAGCACAGAGTAGATATGAAGGAATCCTGGTGTGATGGATCACATAGGGTCCTGGACCCATTACTTACCAAATACTGTCTATGTTTCTTACCCCGTTTTCCTAGCCTCATTTTTCTCATGGTCACTCCCACCATGAAAGTGCTTTCAGAATTGAACCAGAAGATGCAGGCAAGACATTCTAAATGACTGTGTTCCAACTGAGCCTCCCAGAGTGAGCTGTTACATCTGCTGCTGGGTTTGCTAGTAATTTTGTCCCTCTGCAACTATAGGTATATTGGGATGAGGAATCAGTATCAGTAATAAAACATGGTGTGCTGATAACTAAGACCATGGCTTGTCTGGTGTCACCTTGGCTTCCAGTGACCAGCAATATCCTCCCAGAAGAATGTCTGGGGATTTGGAAGTGTTCAGCAAATGCCTGTTAAGTAAATGAACAAGTAGACAAACAATTGATGCGGATGATGAATAAATGTGGGAGCCATTGTGTTCCTGGTCTCCAGCCCATTTTATAGCTCTGGCAAGGGATGGCAGCTAGCAAGGATACAGCATCAGAAAGAGCACATGATGGGGCTCACATTTCTGATTGGCAGGGGCAGGGTGGAGCTAGCCCTGCCTATAAGTCAGTGAAGGGTCTTCACTTGGGAGTGATACAAGTCTATATAGTACTATGAACTGGACCCTCTGCCCAAGGAGTCAGTCCACTTTCTTGCTCTGCCAAGATCAAATACTATGATGGTCTAAAGGACCAGAGTGACCCAGGATGAGAAGCCAGGTAACACAGTAGCATTTGAATACCTTGTTAAAGCTCCCTTCCCCAACCTCTCATCAGCTCAGGGAACTTCAGCATGGCCTAGTCTGAGTCCTACCAGTCCAGTCACATGGAATCACTCACACCATTATTTCCCCCTTGGCACCACTGGGGCTATGATTAACTTAATCCTCATGCTTCAATCACCTCACTGGAACATAAAATTAAGTGAAGTTATTTATTAATGAAACCAAAGCCACTATGGTAAATGAGAAACCAGTACTGCATGCCCTATGGAGGCAACCATAAAAATAAACTTTGGAAACAAAACACTATAATTATAACATAGCTAGCCACCACTGCTTTCATTAGCATGGAGCCCCAGTCTCTACTTCATGCCCACCCTCTTCCTTCTTTCTCTTCTCTGATTTCTTTCTCTATAGGGAACAGAGTTTTCTGGAGGGTAGTAGAGTACACAGCCCTCCTAACTATGACATTTTGAAAATCTGATGAAGAATGCTCACTTCCAAAGTCAGCAGATGCAGTGAAGGTAAGATTCAACCAGGGTTGTGGTTATGGGGATGCGCTAGGGGCTGGAAAGGCCTCAGAGTCTTACAACCTGCATCTGTGTCCAGAGAGCTACATCCATGCTCCATGTCAAAGCATCAAAGGCTTGCATGGCACTAGAAAGCATGCTCAGGGGTTTCATCCCTGTCCAATGCAGAACCAGTGCGGTCCCTGGATACCCTTGAGGTTCACTTTTCCTCGGGTCTGAGAGATGGACAACATGTTTGTAACAGGGCACATCTTAAAACTGCCCCAGTGTGTATCAGCCTTATGTGTTTTAATGATGTCTTTCTTTTCTTTTTGCTCTGTGAAGCTGTTATTAGATTGATGATGCATTTCATAATGAGGGTGACTCAGAGTCAAGCAAATACAGTCCACCTTAACAGTGCCAATATAAATGAGCCTCCGGTTTGGATGCCAAGACAGCACTGTGGCCTCATGCTCTCCTGATAGTGTCCATCTGATAAAGACATTACAATAGCAAGGAATTATGATGTATAACCCAGCACTGAAACACTCACACATTCTTGGCCTTGAACGCTTCAGCAAAGTGCTGCACGCTACGGAGCACAGCCAGGTCCAGGGTCATTGCTTCTACCTTGGCTTTGTGCTGGAATGAGAGAAAAATAGAAAAGAAATGATAAATAACAGCAAGTATAGTTCGTGGTATCAAGTTACAGTAAATGCGTTATGGAACATGTCGGAATTCCCCTGTTTAATATTAGACGCCCAGAGAGACGATACATCATCAGAATGAATGGAAGAACACAGCTTTTACTGCCAAGTCCAGGGAGCACGGGAGGATGGGACTCGGCTGGAACTCCGGGCTGGGGGTTGTGCGTGGCTTCACTCAGTACACAGAAGAGGCTCCAAGGAGCCTTCTAGCTCATGTTATCTTTAAATATGTGCTCCAAAGAGCTGAATCTGTGGGGGCGGGCACCAAGAGCAAGCCTGGTCACAATGGAATGAACAACACTGTAATCTCAAAAAGATTCCATGGAGGTTCTTAAAAACTTCCAATAAGCCTGCATCACCCTTAAAGACAATCCAGCCAGGGGTGGAGATATATGCTTGTAATCCTGACACCCTAGCAGGTCATGAGCTTCAGGTCAGCCTGAGGCTACTGGGTGAGTTTAAGGCCAAATGAGTCAATATGGTGAGAAGTTTTTGTAACTGTAAATAAATTCAAGGTGGGGCTGGAGAAATGACCAGTTAGGAAATTTCTTGCCATACACAAAAGAGGATGTGAGTTTGATTCCTAGAACTTGCTTGCACTGGGAAGGTGGAGACAGGAGGATCCCTGGGGCTTGCTGATCAGCCAGTGTAGTCTACTCAGAAGTTCCAAGCCAGTGAGAGACTCTACACTAAAAACAACAACAGGAGCAGCAAGGTGCTGGAGAGAAGACTCAGCAGTTAAGAGCACTTGTTGCTCTTCCAGAAGACCAGAGTTTGGTTCTCAGCACCCATGTTCAGCAAGCAGCTCACAGAGGGAATCAGATGCTCTTTTGGTCTCCAAATATATCCACCTGCACTTGTACAAGTGCATGTGTGCACTCACACACATACTCACATTTAAAATAAATCTTTTTAATAATACTGAACAGCAGGGAATACTATCCCTTGACTCTTCAGGGTGACCTTTTAAAAAAGACTACAGAGCAATGAATGGGAAAGGACTGACCCCAAATCAGTCTTACTAGAGGGATCAGGATTGGATACAATCTAGTGGATATGGTCTTCCTGTCAGGATTCTGCAGAGACAGACCTCAGGGTTATTCTTCCAAGACCTCATGTTTACAGAGAATTTTAAACTTTTAAGTCTCGGTGAACTGTGGGGAACAAAATTAAATACCACGTCTTTCTAAGACCTATCTAATTCTTCCAAGAATGTTCAGCACTACCTGTCTGCTCAGGTATAGAAAGCTCATGAAACAAATGGCAAACTTGGGAATTTTAGTCTAGACTATGATATGTAAGTCAGACTAAGGAGAATAGCAGGACCCTTCCAATGCCATGAGGCAGATGTAGACTGTCTTACTCTGGAGTGGATTTGGGCTAGGCTGGGCAGTAGCCAGCTTAGCTTGGCCGCCTCAGTGCTGGGCTCTAACCCAACTCATAAGATTTGAATAAAGATCATAAGCTAGTGACTGCAGAAATCATACCAACTTTAGTCCATTTAACATTTTCTGAGGAGACTCAGTTTCCTCATTTACAAAATATAAATAAACTATAAGTCCCAAGAATATTCAGTAAAGTTAACTAGGAGGAGGTATCTTCTGTGTGAAGTTCTTACTCTAATGCTACATTGCAGTAAGAGCGGTGATGCATGATGTGAATGGCTTCTAGAGGCCCTCTTGAAAGACCGCATCAGACCAGATCTTATAGGATCCAGGTCATGGTTACTAACAGAGCTCAAGTTTAGGAAAAAGTGAAATAGTGATTAAGTGGTTTCCCCAGATATAACAACATGCCAGGGCTTGACAAGATTGGGCTGTTGTAAGTAGAAAATCCAAATTTAGGGTGACAATGGCAGATACAAATTTTGCTATCTTGGAAAGAAAGCATCAACATGATCCAGGAAAGCAAGGATGCCAACAGAGGATGCTCTTAGTTTAGTTCTCCTAGTCAGGGATTCGTGGAGCTGGATGGGCCACACAAGGTTCAGCTATAACCCTCACTGTGCTGGAGCTGGTTCAGCACACCACTCTTACAAAGGAGCATCCATGTCAAGTGACTCACTCTCACCTGTAACTACAATCAGGGGATCCAATAATTCTGGTCTCATTGGGGTACCTACCCTCATGTGCACATTACCTACATACTTACATACAATTAAACTAAAATAAATCTTTTTAAAGAAAGAAGTAGAAAGAAGTACAGTGGTGTGGGCCTGTTATCACCACTATGAAGAGGGAAAGGAAGGAAGTTCAGGAGTTCAAAGTCAGCCAAGGAGATGAAAGTCATAAAGAGATACCTGAGGTACTACCATGGTACCTGAAGGACATAGAGTAAGGTCACATCTGTGTAAAGTGGGGGAACCTCAAAACGATAAGCAAATTCTACAGTTTTCTTGCTTGTTCATTTTATTGTCTAGTAACTGGTTTTATCCAATAGGTTAAAATTCTGCTAAGAATATAAAATTTGTTGATAGTTGACTTGTATTTGCCACATTCTTGTGCATGATGACACTCAGGTACTTGAGTACCTTTAGATCAGATGAACTGTCAGCCCCCATCACCAGCCCCTAACTCCCATGGTTCCCATCCCCCTTTACCCAGGGCAAGACAACTGTTGTAATATACAGAATCCTACAGAAATGCAACTACATCATACACACACACACACACACACACACACACACACACACACACACACAAAGTCAGACATTTGTTAAAAGACAGCATTCCTTCCTAGAAACCCCAAAGGATATGCATGCTACACATTATGAAAATACATGGACATATTTTCCTCATAAAACAGGGAGAACATTCCCAGATGGTGACCCCAAAGCAATCCAAGAAAAATGATGGTGGAGCCAAGTGACCCACACATTCCTCTCTATGTGTAACTTAAAATTGGTAGGTTATCTTTTGGTCCCCTTCTACTTTCTGTCTTCAAAATATAGCACTTAGCTGCCATTGCTAATAAGAATGAAACCAGGACATATATATCCAAGGGGAGCGAGGGGTCACCCAACTAATCTGTGAGATGTGGGTTACTAGGCTCCTGGGGATACAGACTCCAGTCCACACACTATTATTCAGAGTTCTCCTGCCCTGGATATCAGGTTTCTTGCTTCTGAAAAACTGTATGCAACTCAGTGAAGTCCAGTGGGGAGGAGAATGTGGCTTTGGGAATTAACATAGGGGTTTGTGTCTACTCCTGTGCTGGGGAGGGGGCTTGCTCTCCTGATTGTGTAGCAAACTTAGCAGAAAGGCGTAGCCTGGTGGATAGAGAGCAGACAGAACTCATTTTTGAAGTGTGGAATTGCTGGTTATCAGAAGAGGGAAGGCAAGAGACTTAACCTGTTAGTTAGTGATCTAGAGAAGGTCACAAATTACTGTGCTGATTTAATACGTGTGCTTTTATTTGGAAGTAGTTATAGACTTGCAAGAAGAAGTCAAAACTGCTCTAGAGGGTCTCACATGCCCATCATCCAGCTTCCCAAAGGGGAGCTATCTTACCTATTTACAGTACATTTTCAAAACCTGAAAATCTCAACACTGGCGATACTAAATATATAAGATTAGAGTCATTAGGAAGGCTTTACCTATTTTGAGGTGCATTCATTTTCTTTCCTCTGCTTAGTCTATCTTCATGTCAAATTATGTGACATTTTGTTTTGTGTGCTGTTTGGTTATTTTTGTCAACTTGTGCTGCTTAGTTTTTTGTCAACTTGACATAATCTAAGGTCATCTGGGAAAAGAAAACACTGGCCTATGGGCAAGCCTGTGTGAGTATTTTCTTGATTAATGACTGATGTGGAAAGGCTCAGCCCACTGTGGGTGGTGCCATCTCCTGGACAGGTGATCCTGGGTCACACAGGAAGCAGGCTGAGCAATATAGTAAGCAGCACTCTTCAGTGGTTTTTGCTTCAGTTCCTGCCTCCAGATTACTACCCTGCTACTCCCAGGACAGTGATCAGTATATGTAAGTCAAAATAAATCCTTTCCTTCCCAAGTTGCTTTTGGTGACCATGTCTTTATCTCAGCCATAGAAAACAAAAAAGGACAATCCAACATTTCATGTAATCATCCCCATAGTCAAGATATAAAAATGAACCATCACATTAAAAAAACAAAAAACCAAAATATTACTTTTATTAACAAGAGACTCAATTGACATGTGTCATCCAGAACAAGGAGAATCTTATTTAGCCAAAGCCTGTTCTCTACTTAGGCAAAACATACTAGCAAAAGTCCCTTTTGCAATTCAGAGTGACCAACAGAAAAATCTAGCAAGGTCTGTATCAGTCAGCAAGTGCTGCAAGAAACAGGCCCTGAATGAAAACTTCACGAAACAGCAAAAAACATCCACTGCCAGATGTGTGGACCCAGGTTCATCTTGGTCATGGAGCCTCTGCCTTCTGTAATGCTGCTCCACAGGAGGCAATGACATAAATCAGATGCAGGGTCTCAAGAGAGTCTCACTGGACACTGGAGGATGTTGCTTACAATCAAGTTTCATTGGCAGAGAAGTTGTGTAGCCGTGACTAGATGTAATACAGTGAAAGCCTCATGTGCCCAGGAGAAAAATGGAGATCCAGGACTAGGGCATTGAGGACTGACACAGTCTAGGTCTAGTTCCCTAGCCTTCCTGCAGTCATGTCTCTCTTCAAATCCACATCATTTCTAGAAAAAACATTTTTAGAAAGTGAGATGAACATAAACATGTAATGCTGCATGCTATAATCCCAGTACTCACAAGTCTGAGGTAAGGCAGGAAGACTGCGAGCAAAGGGGCATGCCTGACCATAAAGGAGTAAGTAGCATGTTAGCTGGAAGGGAGGGAGGGTAGAAGGAAGGGAAGGGGGTAAAAGGCAGAGGAAAGAAGTGGGGAGAGGGAAGAGGAAATGAAGGGGAGAGGAGAACAGGGGAGGGGAAGGGCGGG